ATTTTTCTTTAAAATTTTTTTTTCTTCTTTTTAAATAAAAGCAGTACCTGCTTTTTTTTCTTTTTTTAAAAAATACAGTCAGTAAAGAACCGAGAATGAAATAAAAGTCTCCAGAGACCCCACCTGAGGTCTCAGCTTAGTTTTCCTTCCAGACATGTTGCTCTTTGTTTTTCCATTAAGTGTCTGGAATATGTGTCCCTTGTGAATAAAGATCTATCTACACTGTCACTTGTAGTAGGTACATAGTACCATAGCTTACTTGATAGGTTTTTTGATTTAAAGTTTTCCCTTATTAAACAGTTCTATTATAAATGACCATGAGATGATCCAGTTTTAATACATTTTCATGTAAGGTGTTTATCATTCATAAACCCTGTTTCGTATGAACATCAATTAAAAGCCTTTGGTGAATTCTGAATGAAGACTGGGATTAGAATAGGCTTTTATGTTCTGAATTAAATTAATAAATATTTGAGTGGCAAATATTTGTGTTCAAAGTGAAGTATACAAAACTTTTTTTTCTATGACATTTTGTATTTAGTTTAGAAATGAAGCTATACATATCTGTATACACATATAATTTTATTAATAATACAGTATTAATTTACACACACATAAATACCATTTATATATACCTTTATATATTATTTTTTATTATTACATAGTTTATCCTAAATGTTCTCACAATGCAGTTGGAAGAAACAAGAATTATATAATTATACAAGTTAATTAACAGAAAACTTAAAAAATTAAGTTTGACAGTCATTTGGAAGAGAAAACACTTATTCCCGCAATCTTGCTATAATGCTGTATAATTAAACATAGGTAATTTATAATTTCAGAATAAATTACATGCAATTTATAGTTTTTAAATCAGTTACATTATGGCAGCACTATTAGAGTAAGTGTATTCCTTCCCATGTACTCACATTTAAAGTCTGATATGTTGGTTTAAAACGGAACCAGTTACGACTTTATGAAGCAACTAATTATGGAAATTCAGGAAAGATTTCAGGGAGGTATAGGAGTTCTGGTAGCGTAGTACCTAAGGCACTTGACTGCTAACCAGAAGGCTGGCGGTTCAAACGCACCAGCCACTCCTCGAAGGGAAGGTTGGGCAGTCTACTTCTGTAGTGACATTGCCTCTGAAACCCAAGGAGGGGTTGCTACCAGTCGGGTCTGATTTGACAGCACATAACAACAACAACAACAACAACGTAGGGAAAGAGGTTATGCAGCTTTATCTGGAGTGCATTAGAGGCAGAGAGTAACTCAGTTTGGCTGGTGAAGGAAGGAGGGGAGGTATAAATACGGGAGAGGGTGATACTGGGAAATTGGATAAAGGTTTTGGAAGGCCATGAATGCCTGTCTGGAGATTTATCCAGGAGGCAATGAGAACTATTAAAGAGTAATTCAAGCAGTGTTTTAGGAAGATTGATCTGGTAGTGAGGCATTGGTGGTTCAGTGGTAGAAATCTTACCTTCCCTGCAGTTTGACTTAGGTTCCATTTCTGGCCAGTGTACCTCATGCATACCCACCAGCCACCTGTTAGTGGAGGCTTATGTGTTGCTGTGATGCTGGATAGGTTTCAACAGAGGCTGCAGACCAAGACGGACCAGGGAGAAAGGCCTGGTGATGTACTTCTGAAAACCAGCCAGTGAAAATACTGTGGACCACAATAGTCCAGTCTGCACCTGATGATGGGGATGTGGGTGGACTGGGCAGTGTTTGATTCCATTGTGCATGGGGTTGCCACGAGCCTGAGCTGGGAGGTCTCTGGGCATTGACCTCATGGCAGGTCACAAGAACAACAATCTGGTAGTGATGTGAAGAAAGGAGCCATCTACCAGGAAGCCAGCTTAATATCAGAGGCTGAAATGACAAGGGCCCAACTGTGGACAATGGGACAGAAATCAAAACATAAATTTTAAGAAATTCTTTAAATCAGTAATAGCTAGGATTTTGTGCCTGGTTGGATTGGAGTAGTCAAGGGAATATGAGAGGCAGACGAGGCAGTCCAAGATTGGAACTGGAAGAAAGTGGGTCAGTTTAGAAGGAGGAGGACTTCTGTAGGGGAAAATTTAACTTTGTTATGGTTAAAGTTGGGGTGGTGGTGTCTCGAAGGTGGGAATTTAAGGCAATAATATGAGAATATTAAGTTGTTATTTTGTATGTGTTTTACTAGGAGATCATTTTATGGAGAAAAGCTCCTGAAAAATTGAGGAAACAGAGGACAAACTTTCACCAGCGATTTGAATCTCCAGAATCACAGGCATCTGCTGAACAGCCTGAAATGTGAACTGAATAGAGAGAAAACATTCCTCCCGTAATTGTTGTGATTAAGTTCAGCAGGTTAAAGATGGTTGCAGTGTGTAGGGGGAAAAAAAAGGCCAAAACTCCATTTGTTACAGTCTTCCTTTATCTTACAGTGCTGCATTTATTTTATGATATAACTAAATGTTCTTCCTGTATATACATTTTTTAAAAAAAGCTTTCTTTTAAACACTGGAACTTTCTCAAGCTGCCTTTTTTTTTTTTTTAAACTGCACACTTTGATTGATGATAAGCACTCAGATATGCATAACATTAAAGATTTTCCTATGAATAGGCTGGTATTTGTAATTTTGCTTTCTTTCTGCATAATACTGATTTTTCTTCTTCGTTTTCATGCTAATTCTCTACATGAAAAAATTTAAATATTTGTGTTTGATTACAAGTAGAAAACCTGAGTGGCCCTTATATCCTGCAAAAAGAAAACATGGTATATATATATATATTTTTTTTTTTTTGAGAACCACATTTATATGTTGTATTTGAGAAATGCAAATATATACCATGAGGTAGGTGTTTCTGAGTCTACTGTTCCATGGCTCCTAAATTTGTATTCTCTTTGAAGCCCTGAAGTTGTCTTTGGTATGAATTTTTTTTTTTTTTTCCTCTCAAGGGATTATGTAGCATGTCATTGTGGGTGCTTTCTCTTTTTTTTAGGGGGGTGGAGGTGGGGCATATTAAGTAACCATTTTGCTACTTTACAGCAGTACCACTATGTTTTCTGCAGTGTGGAGATGAGCCTATATTGGCATTTTTGGATTTGGTAAAACTGTAAATTTTCCATAAATACTTAGAATTGTGTACCCTTCTTTTTTAATGTAAGTAAGGTCTTTTTTTTCCCCCCACATATACACAGATACCATCTTCTTGACCTCAAAAATGTATTCTCTTCATTTTCCAGGGGAAATTTTTGTAATGGGAGACTCAGGAGGACTTGTGAAATATGTAATTACCCAGATCTGGACAATTTCCTGTTGGTTAAACTGGAACACTGGCTAGATCTAGCTCAGATTCAAACCTCCCCTCACTCTGTTTTAGTTTTTTTAAACATTAAATTCAAGTTACTTGTTCAATATCTCTGAAAAATGTTGCTGTCTTAAATTCATATGCATGGGGTCTGACACACTAAATGTGGGGTATAGGTACCAAAATGAAGCCTGCTGTATGGAAACTACTTTCACTTATGGTTTTTGTACCAATATTTTTATACACTTCAGTGCAAGTCTTGTCAGTTAACCTTACTTTATGAGTAAGCTGAATAACCCCAGTTACATTTCTTTAAACCTGTTTACTCTTATGGCACTTAGACGAAATGATCAGTAACCACCTTTTTCCTGGTGGGAGGTTCCATGTGCCATGTTCTGCAGCATCTATTTTGAGATGGGGATATCTGAATGGTAATGTTTCCTGTAAGTGCCTGTTTAATTTCAAAATTTTAAAAATGCCAAATATTTTCATGGTCACTTGCATGTAGTAATCTAGAAATACTCAGAGATTTTGAAAATCAGTTGTATTTAACCAGCCTCAAATTATGCAGCGATGATGTGTAAAATAAAGAATTTGAAACATACTGAGCTTGCTCTTTGAATGATTAAAAATAGCTCTATTCTCAAATCTGTTCTCATTGTCAGATCTGTTGTTGAAGACAGGATTGCTCAATTGGTTAGGAAGCTTAAGTGTAATGATGCTAAATTTTTATAAATATTACCTGTTTCAATTTAAAATGGTTACATAGTGCTTTTAATTAGCTAGTTTACAACACTGTTCATCCACAAGGTGTTTATTCATTTTTGCCTGAAACTTTCTGCTGCATAACCAATTTAAAAAATAAAATTCTAATTCAATATTTGTTGATTTGAGTCAAAAGTCTGCCAGTTAATTAGAAGTAATAAACTTGAGAATGCAATGTGTGTCTGTAATAAAGAGTACAATGTCCAATCCAATGGTTCTCAACTTTGGCTGCTGCGAATTACCTAAGAAGCTTTTAAAAACATCCCTGCCCAGTTCTTGGGTAGGAAATCAGAATCCCTGGTGCTAGGACATTAGCATTGAAAAAGCTACTCAGGGTTGAGAACTACAGGTCTAAACCATTTAAGTTGTTATTTCTCTGCCTTTTGCCCCTAGTTGCCATCAAGTCAGCTTTGACTCCTGGTGACCCCATGTGTGTTAGAGTAGAACTGTGCTCCAAAGGATTTTCAGTGGCTCATTTTTCAGAAGTAGATCACCTGGCCCTTCCAGAGTCTTCCACAGAGCCTCTTGCATGGATTTGAATCTCCTGCTTTATTACTAGCATATCATTAAACTTTTGCACCACTCAGGAACTCCTTTTCTCTCACTAGTGAAGAATTTTTTCATCGTTTTGACACTGATTTAGTTAGAATATTTGGTTCTAATTACCAGTGACTATGTGAGCCAGTAAAGTTTTATGCTGTACTTTTACATTCATTTGAATCTGTTGCGCATATAAACAACAACAACAAAAAAAAACTCACTGCTGTCAAGTCGGTTCTGACTCATAGCGACCCCTTCTTGAGTTTCCAAAGTGGTAAATCTTTACGGAAGTAGATTGCCCAGTCTTCCTTCTGAGGAGTGGTTGGTGGGTTTGACCTGCCAGCTTTCTGGGTAGCAGTCAAATGCCTTAGGCACTATGCCACCAGAGCTGGAACCCAACCCACTGCCACTGAGTCGATTCTGACTCACAGTGGCCCTACCAGACAGAGCAGAACTGCCCCACAAGGTTTTCACAGCTGTAAATCTTTGTGGAAGCAGGCTGCTTCATGTCTCAGGAAGCAGCTGGTGGGTGGGCACTTTCTAAACGATTTATCTTCTGCTGAAAAATTGACTTATTTGTAAATTTTTCAATATAGTTTTTCCAGCATTAAGCTCTGCTTCCTTACGTTGTTACATCATTTCCTCTGACTAGAATTTCCTTACCACTTCTTTGTCTTGTTTCATTGTTTGGCAGAAATCTCCCTGTTGTTAAGATGCTACCAGTCCATTCCAACTCATGGCAATCTCCTATGTGCAGAGCAGAACTGTATTCCATAGATTTCTCAAGGCTGTGACCTTTTGGAAGCAGATAGCCAGCTCTGCTTCTGAGGGATTTCCTGGTGGGTTCAAACCACCAACTTTCTGGGTAGTAGTGTTGTGCCCAGATCTTGAATCCCCAAAAACCACCAAGGAGCCGATTCCACTGCAAAAGCATAGGGGTTGTTTATTCAAGCTCGAGCTCGGACCCTCAACTGTCACCGACGCAGCAGTTCAGGATTGAGAGCCCCGAACTCAGGGGTAATGGGGTCTTCATAGGGGTCTCAACAGAAACAAGGAAGTTTCAATCAGAAAATTACAGGATTGGTTGACATTTTCCAAGTTGCTAGTTGTTCCTACTTGATTGGCTCTGTCTGGTGGGTCGAAGCCACCAACTATGGTTTCTAACTATTTTAGGTAAGGTGTTTCTGTGCTATCTACTGATTGGTTGTTGCTAAGGAGTGTGTTTGAGAGTATCGATGATGTAGTTAGGACTCTGTCTATGAGGTAGTTAGGACTCTTGTGTTTTTTCCAGTAACTAAAGCACTAAAGCGTGAAGTACGTGCTAAGGCTTTTTGCACAAATGGCTACCTACTCAGAATGGTTACATACAGGGTGGTGGTTATATAGAAACATAATCTCATGCTCTTACAGTAGTAAAAGCACTTAACAGTTTGCGGTGCCCAGGCAGTCCAAAGGCTTGGAAATTGCTCCTTTCTCTGAACTCCCACTGGGCAACTGTTTAATGTAAGGAGCCCTGGTGGCACAATGGTTAAGAGCTCAGCTGCGAGCTACCTATGCTGTTGGAATCCATCAGCTGGTCAGCGGGAGAAAAGACTTGGCGACCTGCTCCCTAAAGATTATAGCCTAGGAAACCCTGTGAGGCAGCTTTACACTGTCCTATAAAGTCGCTACTAGTGAGAAGCCTCGTGAGCTCGCAACAACACACTGTTTAGTGTGTGGAGTTCTTATCACCAAAACCAGATCAGAAGCTCTTTGATGGCAAGGGATCGATTACTTGTTGTGTCCCTGCCCCCGAAGTTTAAAAAGTATTCTGTTAAGCATGATCATGTAGCAAACTGTCACTGGAATACTATTTCACACAGTATTACACACTACATGTTCCTTCACGTGACAAAGATCTTAATGTTTTATGTACAATGGGAGAAAGATGTGAAAAGCCTAACGGCCTATTTTAAATGTTCATTGTTGCAACCTGGTAAGAGGGCACAGCAATCAACTACTGCAAATTAAACTAAACTTTGGCCAAGGTACAGAGCACACATTTGTTGCCATGCGGTGGTGACATATTAGCTGTCACCAGACTGCTGACATTACTTACACACGTGCCACACAAGGCGTCTACCTAAGAACTTGCGGAACAACACAATTCCTTGGCAACCCTTGAGAGGGGAAGATCAAGGAAATGAAAGTTTATAATCCAAGGAAGCTTTGGGGATATGCTCTTTAACGTTCCAGTCGGCAAATCACTCAACGTACAAGTGGCTGTTGTCCACCAGCCAGACTCACCCACGTGCTTCAGGACAGGACCTCCCGAACCTGGCAGACTTTTGTCACGTGACATGGCTTGCACGTTCTTACTCTCTTCTGTGACATCCCCAAAGATGCCTGATTATTTTCTTTTTTAGAGAAAGCTGGTACCACTGTCCAATGAGAAAATAAAAATTATCTTTGCTGATTTTCACTTATAAAACTTCTCTTCCCTTTAAGACCAATCACACGGCGGCATTACTTTCTCTATAATGATAGGGCGTCTCTCCGGGCAGCTATCCTGGTCTTTGGGTCTTTCCGAACAGCAGGCACCAGCAGTGCGCGTCACTGTCCACCGCCGTGTCCCTGGGCTACTACTGGGTCCTTTAGGGCCTCCCTGCAGCTTCAATGTCCTTACCCCGGTGTACCCTGTTGTGGGCTCGGCTCCCGGCAGGGCGCCAAGCTGGTCACCGGGCAACCGTCTGCTGTGCACTTCGCACCCACATCGGACCTTTTGCTGGGGCTCTTGGGCGCGTTCCTGCCGTTGCCTCTGCCTCCTCCTCTGCCTCCGGTGGCTCTAAAGCCCCGAACACGTCCTTGTTCGTGCCGTTAACTGTGAAACCTCAGGGCCCCAGCGCGGATGGTGATGTCGGGGCAGAGCTGACCAGACCTCTGGACAAGAGTGAGTGCAGGGGCTAGGCGAGGGCGGCGGGAAGTGGTGTCTGCAGGGCCGGGGAGCAGCCGAGAGGAGCTGCACTTCCATGCCTTGGCGACCCGAGATCCCTCGAACGTTGTTGACATTGTGCTTGTTAATGTCTGCCACCCTCGCTGATTTTTGAGCCGCTTAAGGCTTGGGGTTGTGTCTAATTTAACGGCTCATCCCTGAAGTGACCTTTTGCCTTTCACTGCATTTTTTTTTTTTTTTTCCTGAATGGGTTAAACCTTTTTGTGTTGGGGTGCTTAACTGTTTTGAGTCATTAGAAAGATGATTTCCTCTTCAAACATTCTTTGCTCCACCTCCGCTACCCAGAGCTATTGCCCCTGCAAAATGTGTGTGTGCGTAAAACCGGAGGACCTCTTTCAGGATTCTTTATCGTTGACTGGACACCAACTCAGCGCATACCTTGTTAGGCTCTGTAGTGGTTGCCCAGAGAAACCAGGCTCAGATCCAGATCTCCTTCCCCAAAGGAAGTTGCAGTTTCATGGAGAGAAAGACATACTGATAACCAGCTATAATACAAACATACAGCATGTTGACAGTGTCCTCGCCGGAGGTGGTAGGTACTCTAATCGTCTGTGGCTCCAGGGAGAAAGGAAAAACAGCATCAGCAAATATCAATGGATTTTGTCCTCCAAACTAACCTTGAATGGATTTGACAGGGAGAATTGCAAGTGTTTCCAAGGGACTTGTGCAGTTTTCAATTATATGGCTGGGTTTTGTTTGTTTGTTTGTTTCTGGATGACTCAGGAGATAAGAGTGTTTCTTGATAGAATGAAGTTTTCTGGGAGGCTGAGAAGGTAATGTTGTAGCTACTCAGAAACTGTGTTTGGGCACTTCACTTCAACAAGGGGCGCTGGCGCCTCTCATGTAGTTTTAAAATATAGATTACAACATGCTATGGATCAAATCTTGTTTTTCAGAGCAGAAGTATAGTGCTTTCTCTAAAAACGTGATGGAACTCACAGTGTAAGTTACTCATTGACCTACTCTTCTAAGCAGTGTTAAGGAAGGCCTTTCACTTAATTTGGATTAGGGACTATATTATTTTAATTATGTAATTGTATATTATTTTAAGGCATATAGTAATTTGTGTGAGGTGCTTTGCCTTATTTACTGTATTCAAATAGAGATCAGTCCTTCTTTTGTGTTGATATTTCAGTTCCCCTGAAAATGTCTTTACTCTTCTGATCAGTCTTAACATCTGGGATAAATCAGTCATTGATGCTCCCTGAAAGGAGATGGAATGAAGAGTCTGGATCGTCAGCACCAGGTTTTCTTCTTACAGAGACTCCTTAGATAGCTCATTGGGCCAGCGCGTGCTGGGCGATTTTTCATCTCCCTTCATTGGGATTGCTCCAGGCATTAAATTTATTAGCCTAACCTTTCAGCATTGCAAGAGGGACTGCAGAAGACAGTAAACTTCTGCAATCCTATGTGGCCATATGGGTAAGGTAGCATATTTTCCTATAGAGATTAGGACAGTAAGATTGCACTTCTCAATTTCTTTTGCCTGATCCTCTCCTGAAAAGCTGGGGTGCTTCAAGGCTCTGTCCTCTGTCACCTTGCCTTCTTTTTCCATATACTCCCTAGGGGGCTTCATTGTCTCCCTGAAGTTAACGTTTATATGTAATTCCTGCCCAATCTTTGTCTTTAGACTGGACTTCTTATTTCCCCTGAACTTATATATATGTAGCTGTTTCCAGGTATCTCCTCTTAGATTTCCCACATGCACCTCACCTCAGCATGTCCAGGACATTTTATTCTCCCTCCACCATCCCCTCCATCTCCAGTATTCCTGTGAAAGGCACTGGGTGCTTACGTAAAAACCTGGTAGTCTTGATTCCTCCTATACTTTATCCCCTACATCTAACAATCAGAAAGTCCAATTGACAAATCTTACTTATTCTACCTTTTATAAATATTTATTGAACTCATTCATTTCTGTCCTCCACTGCAACCTACCTAGCCTAAATTACCAACTCTGCTTTTCATTGAACTTTAATCTCTCCAGTCCATTCTCCACTTGTAGTCTGAATGCTCTCTCTTTTATTTTTTTAAAAAGATATTATCATGTTACTCCCTGCAAAAAGGTGTTTAATTTTTTCCATTGTTCTTAGTATAAAAGGACCCCCAGTCCTTAATATGCAGGAACTCGGGTGGCACAGTGCCTAAGGCATTTAATTGCTAACTAGAAGGTTGGCGGGTCAAACCCACCAACTGCTTCTCAGAAGGAATATGGGGCAATCTCCTTCCATAAAGATTTACCATCTCAGAAACCCAGTGGGGGTTGCAGTGAGTCGGAATTGACTTGATGGCCATGAGTTGTGTTTTGGGGGTTAGTCCTTAATGTGGCCTACAAAGCCCTGCCTGATCTGGTCCAGGTACCTCTCCAGCCTCATTGCATGCCTCTTTCCTTGCTTTAGCCATATTGATGGCCTGCGCCATGTGCACTGTTGCTCCAGGCCTTCTGCCTATGTTGCTTTCTCTGCCTAGGCACTGCTATTCTTGGCCACTTGGTTTTTAATCTACTTGACTCCTCCTGATTATTAACAGTAGCTTAGTTGCTGCTTGCTGACCAGTGGAGTCGGTTAAGTTTCCAAACTTCCTTCTCATCCTTTGGTTCCCTTATATTGACACTCATCACATTTGTAATTGCTTGATCAGTGGACATAGTCATCCACCAGCGTCCATGTGGGCCCCAGAAGGACATGGGGAAACCGTGAGTGTCTTGTTCACGGCTCCATCTCCAGTCTAACAGTTGTTCAACAAATACTTAACTGTCTACTATGTGCCAGACACTGTTCTAGACACAATAAGTGGGGTTGGTGTGTGTGTATGTGTGTGTATTCTTGTTGATTGTAACACATTTAGCCATGGGATGTAGATAGACAACAACTGAAAAGACTGTATTTTGAATAGGCTGATTGAATTGGATTGATTTTTATTCAGTTACCTTTTCTTCATTGGCAAAATTTCCTAATTGGTAAAATGAAAATAATATTTTCTCTGCCACCTCACTGAGTTATTGTGAACATCTCCATAAGATAGTTGGCAAAACGTTCTGAGAGGTATAAAGGGATGAACAAATATAAACTAGTGTTATTTGTACTGATATTCAGTGTCTGAAAAATAAGTACAAAGTTGCTGGGTTGTAACCCTGTGGTATTATCTGTGATGTGTGGAAACTGGGGAAACCATTTCTACAAGGGCCTGGATAATCTGCCCTACCTATTTAGTTGATTGATGTGAGGAATCTACTAAATAGATATTTTTAAGTTACTGTACAAAAAGGGATTTTGTGTAAGCCTCTCTTCTTTTAGGTGGTTAAAACCAAACAGACTCACTGCCATTGAGTTGATTCTGACTCATAGCGACCTTCATTGGGGCTTCCAAGGTTGTAAATCTTTTTTGGAAGCAGACTGCCTCATCTTTCATCCGCAGAGTGGCTGGTGGGTTCAAACCACCGACCTTTTGGTTAGCAGCCATATGTCTTAAACACTACATTACCAGAGCTCCTTAGGTTGTTGATGTAGGATGTAGGATGTTTGACTGTTGAGTCAAACCCAACTCATAGTGACCCCTCCTTGGATTTCTGAGGCAGTATCACTACAGAAGTAGATTGCCCAACCTCCTTAAAATTCCTTAGGTGTATATACTCATAATTGTTTGGCTCTGTTTGTTGTTGTTGTTATGTGCTGTCGAGTCGGACCCGATTCATAGCGACCCCTCCTTGGGTTTCCGAGGCGGAATCACTACGGAAGTAGATTGCCCCATCTTCCTTCCCAGGAGTGGCTGGTGGGTTTGAACCGCCAGCCTTCTGGTTAGCAGTCAAGTGCCTTAGGCACTATGCTACCAGAGCTCCTTTGGCTCTGTCAGAGCACTGTTTTTGGCACTGGTGTGAATTTTTACCTGTTTGGAAGTTCTGGAAGTGAAGTACAGCTAGTTTTGATGGAAGAATGGCCCTTCTTTTTCTGGGAAAGTTGACTAAGCTGGCAGCCTTGGGTGGTTTTAGGTGGAGCGGTGAAGCACCCAGGCATTCACAGCCAGGTCAGCCCTGGCTGTGCCCAGGTGACAGATGCACTTCCAGGGTATGCTCTGCTTCTGATTTTTGATTGCTCACTGGCATGTGCATAGGCGGTGGCAGCCATAAATAATACTCATTGGTGGATTTTTACTTTTTTTTAGCAGTTGTGACTCCCAGGAAAGGTCTCAAATTAACTGAGGCAGATCGGGGTAGTTTCCTGGTAGGTTCTTGTAGCAGTAGATGGGTAGATGCAGATCAGCACTTGAATTGATCGGGCTATGGCAAGGGAGTGAAAACCATTCACCTCGCTATTAATAGAGTGAGTGGGAGTCAGAGTTTTGGGAACACTTACTAGTCCAAATACCTAGACTGATAATGTTCTTTGAAATGCCGTTGAGGAACTACTGAATGAGGGTGTAGTGCTAAGGGGTCATGATTATGGCATCAGTCCCTGTTCAGGCTATTTGTTGATACTTTTCCCACTAGAAAGGCTACCCTTTATCATCTCTAACCACCTGAATGGACATCATGCTGTTGGTTGCAAGAACCTTATAAAAAAAAGTAGAAGCTTAACCAATTATGTAATTTGTTGTAGGTGTGTCTAGCACACTCCCATGTGGGGGTAAAGGGAACAGCTAAGACTCCTCAGTTTCAATGCTGCTGTCACGTCCATTGCCTGAAAGAGCTGCAGAAAAGGCAGAGGCATTTGGCCTGATGCATAGCTGTCTGATGCGGTTAGTGGCAGTGTTAGCAAATCTTGCACTGCAGTTCATAATTCCTTTTGTGATGATATGAAAAGTTTAATACAAGTTCCTTACTGCTGCTAGAACAGTATTCTAGTACCTCTTCATATTCATAGGCAAAAGAAGTAATACTAGGAAGTAATATTAAAGGGGCAGGAGCTAATTGTCATTATTTGGTGGTTTTGATATGATCT